GGGCCTGCCTCCAGTCTTTGCCTGCATTTTAATACAGTGCGCTGCTTTCTCAAAACCAGATCAAGCCTAATACCATCTCAGCTCAGGTTTTCAGCAGAAAATACAGATTGAAATGTATTAGGCTTAAACGGTTCTGAGAAAAGCGCTTATCCTGAAACATCAATCAAATTCTGCTAGAGTCTACCGTGTCCATTGCTGTTACCAGAGATGCAGAACCACAGCATCCTCCATCTTCCTCCATCCCCAAACGTACTTCCCGCCTGGGTTTCAGTTGTGGCCAGCCATATTCCAGGCCCCTAAATGTGTGAATTCAATTAGTTGTGTGGCATTTCAAACATGATGTGACAAACCAGTATGAGAAAACGGCAATCTATTCAAATTAGTTTTATTGAAGCATTCCCTTCATTTGACAATATAAAATGCCTTTGAAAACACTGAGCGACGTTATCTAAAGGGAAACTCCACAGACAACCACAGCACTCAACATACAGGTCGCACTTACACCATCACTCATGTTTTCCCCCCTCAGTGTCCACTGAAGATGTCATCCACATCAGTTCACACTTATAGATCAAGTTACAAGGAAATAAAGCACACACACCATACAGCATTCAGATGGGATTATAAGAAGCAAAACAAAGTATGCATCATCATCACAACATTCCTATATAAGCACATTGTCAGTATACTAAAGGAGAAAAGCAAAACGGGATCTAGGGAGACAAAAAAAAAAAAAATCCATGAGGTTCACGTACTAAATGTCCATCAATTTGGGCTCAATTAAGGGGGAAACTGGGAAGTATCAGCAGCTCTCATTCACACGCTCACCAAACCCACCCACTGCAGTCACATTTCGGCTCGTTCATTGCACTCGCAAGTCTTTTCGTTCGTGCGATCCACACTTTCTTCGCTCACTCGCAGCCTTCTCACTCTTCGCCATCATCACCAATCGCACTCAAGGGTTGTTTTAAAAAAAAGTCACTTTCTGCGCACTTGTCTTAAAAAGTGGATTAAAAAAAGAGACACCCACCGTGTCATCGAGCCGTGCGAAGAGAGCATATAGACATGGGGAGGAAGGTGGCATAATGGCCTCAGCCACACTGTGCTGCCATAGAGGGCGCTCTTCCCGGGCAAACCCCACAGATGTCAACTGCAGAAGAGATTTTGATGAAGGCTTGTTTTAAAGGGTTTGGACTGAAATAAAGCTGAACTGGACTGAAATAAAGCTGAACTTATAATATGTTCAGGTTTCAACCAGATTCTTTCCAATGCAAGTTTGTTTGTTTTTGTCCAACATAATGATAAATGTACTTAAAATATGATGCAATTCTCATGCGTATTTAGATATCCACAGATTTTAACAACATGCATTATAAGAATCTAGTTGAAATGCTTCATTTGCATCGACCAAGACAATAAAACATGGGGGAAAAACATAACACCAAAGATGGTACATATAAACGTAGCACCCTGGTTAACATCTTACTCCAAAACACTAACTCAAATCCCATTCAGTGTACAAAACATTCTTCTTTTTTTTTTTTTTTGTCCCCAGACTCCCTTTTCACCCATCCCCACTCCCAAAAACGTGACGAGATAAGTCTCTCAGAAAATACTTACCAAACACGCTAGAAATACTGACACTACAAACTCAAACCAGCTTACATACCCCACCCTGACGACTTGGAATCCATACTAGACCCAAAGCTGGAGTTAAACCCACTACCGCTAGAGTTAGTGCCAGAGCCCCAGCCGAGAGCGGCCGAGCTGCTGTAGTTGCTGTTGCCCGAGCTGTATGTCTGGGTCTGGTCCCGAGTGGAACTCGTACCGCTTGTGCTCGTGCCAGATGTTGCCGACTGACCCTGCTGTGCTAACATTCCCATCATACCCCAACTGTTCTGTAGAGCGGCCTGGGCGGCAGCCATCATAGCTGGATTGAGGTTGAAATTGCTGAAATTTCCCATGCTGCTGGAGCTACCCCCCATGCTGCTACGGCTGCCTCCGAAACCCTGACCTCCGAACCCGTTCCCAAAGCGCCCTGCCCGCTCCATCATCTGCCTAGTGTTGTTGTGTTTCGGCTCAGCATTGGAGATGTGCACGCTGACGCCCTTGATGATCAGATCTTCTCCGCAAAGGGAGGCGGCAACCTGGAGGGAAGATGGAAAATCTTAATTATGTATGCATGACCAGCTGATTTCTCCATCCAGAATAGAAAAGAACTGACAATTTGTCACAGTTGCTTCATTTTTTTTCTCTATACCTTTAGGTTTATCACCTAAAAACAACAATAGCTTACCTGGTCATCTGCAAAGGTGACGAAAGCAAATGCTCTGAAGGGTTTAGGAATGAAAACATCTGTGACCTCCCCATACTGCATGAAGAACTGACGGAGCTCATCAGCGGTTATGTCCTCCGTGCAACGGCCCACAAACACTTTCCTGCTCCTCATTGGCTCATCTGGACCTTGCTGTTGAATTTTCAAAAAGATCATTCTGTTTAGCACCCCAAAAGTAAAAGCCTCAGACTAACATACATACTTCTTCATATACACTACTGTTCAAAAGTTTGGGGTCAGTAAGTGTTTTTTTTTAATTATTTTTTTTAAGTAAGACAGGCTAAGTTCACACTGCGAGTCTTAGTGCTCAATTCTGATTTTTGCTCAGATCTGATTTTTTTGTATAGCTGTTCACATTGTTGTTTTAAATGTGGCCAATATCAGATTTCCAGTGTGAACAGATCATGGTTCTGAACTGACCTGCATGCTCAAAAGAACAATATGAACACAAAAAAAATATATAAAAAAAATCGAATTTTGGCCACATTTGCCTGCAGTGTGAACGTAGCCTTTTACAAATTACAGCCCGTTACAAATGATTTCTAATTCAAATAAATGCTGTTCTTTTGAACGTCTAAGTATCGAACAATCCTGAAAAAAAAATGTCTTCAGCTTTGCCATCACAGGAATACAATACATTTTAAAATGCATTAAAATGAAATTTTTTTACATTGTAATAATATTTCACAATATTATTGTTTTACTGTATTTTTATCAAATAAATGCATAAGAAACTTACTTCAAAAACATTAAAAATCGTACCAATCCCAAACATTTCAACTGTAGCATAAAAAACAAAAACACTAACCTTTGAGTTGGGTAGTTTGCAGTCACACCACCTGCCATCAATCATGTGGCGCTGTGACATCACCTTACCCTGAGCCTCCCACTCTGCAAACCTCACGAACCCAAATCCTTTCGAATTTCCCGTCTTCACGTCCCGCTTGACCTAATGTAACAGAATCAAGTCAAGAGCTGCGTTCATACCAGATCTACTCTGACTTCATGACTGACAGCTGAGCCACATAAAAAGTTAGAAACATTAGACAAAGAGACAGAAATCATGGATTGTTTTCACCAAAATATGGCAGTACAAAGACAAGCACAGCTGGATAATTATATTTGTATCAGTATGTCTTACCTGCACCATGATGACTTCCCCAAACGTATTGAAGTAGTCTTTTAAGTCTTGTTCTGTAGTCTTCCATGGCAGACCCAGCACAATCAGATCTGAAGTCTTCTGATCTCCTCTCTTGATCTTCGTTGCAGATGAAGCATCGATCTCATCCATCTTCCTCTTATTATCCGGCAGAACCGTTTCTAGAATAGAAAAGTTCACTTGTTACATGTTCACACATCCACCGAATGTCAATCACCCTTGCAACAAAAACAACCCCATTAAATCAAGATGAACTGGATTTTTTACAGCTAAAGATATAAAGCTGAAGTTTCCATCACCCCACTGTGCTCAACTTTGGTTATTATGACATATAACCTCAATGTTCAAGTATAAATTAACCCTAAAATGCACACAAAAAAGACCCTATTCTTGACCCATGTTTCTAGGGGGAGAAGTTATGGTTAATAATGTCATTTGATATTATAAAATGTGCTAAGGAATATTTTTCATATTTATATTCTAAATTGAATCAGAGGCTTATTTGTAATGATCATATGACCTACCTTTAGGGTAATTGACCACATAGACCAGGTTTCCCCAGCCGTTCTCGGGGGCGTGCAGGACTCCCTCCACCAGGCGAACTCCTCTCATGCACTGAGACACCGGGCTCCGGTAACGCAGGCCACAAGCCCCTGGAAACTGAGCGGCCACCGTGGAGAGCAGCACAGTGCCGTCGTCCTCTGACGGGATCTCCATCGGCTCCTCGTTCTCCTCCTCCGCGACGCGAATGTACATCTCGGCCATCTCTCCTAAATCGAGCTGTTGGTGAGTAAATGGTATAATTAGTGGCGATTCCTTCGTGAAACAATCAATGTTTTTGAACGAATCTTTCTCGGTCACTTTGATTCATAAATCTGACTGTTTTCCTGTGACCAAAGACTCACTATAGCGAACCGAGTGCTACTAGCAATCGAGTGCAGGCTGTGAAGGAGCTGTATCATTGGTTGGACCGGTTGGACATGCCGAACGACCACGCCCCCTTTACTAAACGAGTCTGTTTATGAATAAGAGTCAAAATAGCACTGAACGAGACATCTCGTTCGTGAACGAAATGCATTATTGAAATTCACGATTCAGGCTATTATTGTTAAAATAACAGGTGTGCGTTGTTGTCATTTGTTTGGAAATTTGTTTATGATGCTTATATACTCGGTAAATGTAAATATGTAGAAACGCATTTAATACATAATAATAATAATGTATTTCAGTTTCGTTGAACGAATAATTCAATACCATCACGATTAAAAATATCAAAATGTGTCACTGAACGAATCTGTTCAGCGAACCGATTCAAAAGAATCGAGTCGCTGAGATGAAACAAAAACCCTTCCACTTGTAATGTGAGCTGGGCCTTGCGCGCCACTTCAGTACTTAGCGCGTGCGAACAACTCGCGAATCCTTATTGCTTAGCAACAGTAAAATACGGCCTCAAC